TTAGGGCACCAGGTTTTGGGGGTGGGGTGGGGTTAAATGTTGGTTTTATTATCTTTGTTTTTTACTGGTGTTTTTACGGGTTCCCCAGAGTTGTAGCACATAAGATGGGCGAACATATAAGTCTTTTAAATAAATAAATAAATAAATAAATAAGAATGTGTTCTCAAGGGAGATCATAAATAGAGAAAACAGAACGTTTTCAGCAGAAACAAAAACCACATGAAAATTAAAAGCACAAAAATAACATAAGCCATTTTTTGTAATGGGCAGCGTACAAATGACCACTTGATTATACCTTTACCGCATGGGGTAAAGTTTTCCTTTTCACTTCCAAGTGCAGTTGACCAAGCTCTCATAAGGCGAGGTGCATCGTTTTCTGCTCATTTGCTGAGCCTCAGAGTCTCAGCAGGTGACAACGCCTGGTTGACTTAGTCAAGACTCAAAAGCTAAGCAGGGATGGGTTAATACTTGGATGGGAGACCGCAAGGAATACCAGGATTCTAGCCTAGACTGGAAACTCAAAAACTATCCTTGAAAAATGGAATTGCATTCTGTACTGTTGCCAAGTGGTATGGCTGTAATAATCAAATCGCCAGGAATCAAGCTAGGTTTGAAGGAGACTTTCATTCACGTTGTCAGTGTTAAGTGTTATAACTGTTATAAGCACGCTGTAGTTATGTTCCCATGTTGAAAGTCAATGCTTATCTGCATCTTGGATTATGGGCACAACAGGTAGTTCTATAAGAGGCTTTAATCAGAAGATAACCACAGAATTCATTTGTAATACTGGTGAGAGGGAGAGGGCCCATTATTTTGTATCCAGATATCCTTTCTTACCATCTCCCCCATTATTAAGATCTGATCAAAGGCAGGATGACTATGCCAATGTATTTAAGTTCCATTTTACATACTGACATTTATTTCCAAATGAACATAAAAGCCTGCCGACCACCAGGATTTTCTGGTTTCAGCTCCCAGTGATCTTTGCAATACTGACCTCAGCTGTATGTGGAACTCAGGGCTGAACAGGAAGCCTCTAAACCTCATGTCCTACAATATTGATTTTCCCTCCTCCACTTAGTCTTTTGACACAGTGGTGCATTCTTTGACCTCTGCAGTTTAACAGCTAACCCTTGGGCTAATTGTTTTGTTGACTGTGCCTTGAAAAGAAACGTAAATACATAAGCCTGTAAACCAGAGCAGCCACATATTAGGCCATATATAAACCTTGCTTTATTACATTTCGTTTTTGCTCTGCAGCTTTGCCCTGAATGATCTGCAAGAGGGTGTCATGTCAGCGCCGAGGACTTAGCCTTCTGCATTTCTTGGGGGGGGAGCAAGGGAGGGGTGGTATATTCTGTTCTCCAGGGCCGCTCTGCGTCCTGTCACCGGTTGAAAGCCCCACGGGGCCACGTTAAATAGAAATCAGTGCTTCGGCTCGAGCAAGCTCGCTCTCCGCTTTGCCTCGCTGCTCTCCCTCCCTCTCCGGCCAGGATTTCCCCGTTTTCTGCTCTTACTTTCAGACGGGGCCGCCAAGGAAAAAAAATCATCACCGGGGGGCGCGGGGGTAGGTAAACCCGCGAGAGGCTCAGCTTCTCCCCTTCTCTTCCTCTCGGCTCTGCGTGATGTTACTGAATGCACCTCAGCTGTGGTTGCCTCTTTCTCTATTGCTCACCTCACTTCATCGCCCGCGCCGCCGCCCGCCGCTCCCTCTCCAACCTCCAGCTTGCTGCGGCAGCTTCCAGCCAAGAGGGAAAGAGGCGCTTCTTTCTTCGCCTCCTCGGCTCTGTCTTGTTGGCGGTGGGTGCCACAGGCGAACAGAGGCCGAGTGGGCAGCCCGCCTCGTCCTTGAGCAGGGCACTGAGAGGCGGAGGAAACGGCAGCGGAGTGACGGGCAACAAGAAGGGGGGCGCCGGCACCGCCGCCGCTTGTGCGTGTGCAGTCAGGCGGAAGAGAGCGCGGACTGCAGCCGGCGCCTTCCACCCGAAGATGAAAGCGCGCGTGCGGAGGGGGGAGACGGATAGGTGACCCGAGCAGGCCCTAAAGGCGCTGTGCTCTTGCGCGCTCAGAGGGAGCGAGGAGAGCCGCGCTGCTCTTAGCAGCAAAGACAGACAGAAACACGTAGTCCAGGAGCTTTGTTTTCTTCTGTTCTCGGTGCTTCTGTCCCCAGATGCAGAATGTCAGAATAAAAACAAATATTTCGAGGATAAGGTGACATCGTTTGACACGTTGTGCAATCCTATCTTACCTACCTACCTAGCTATATAAAATAATCCGAAGTGATTGTGGGCTACTAAACTGTCACCATGACTCAGCATTTTCTCCAGTCCTTCCAAGGTGAAGGCATTACAAATGTAGTATCAAAGATTAAATTTGCTGTATGTATATGCAAAACTTAATATTTGTTGAGGTTATTATGCAGTAAAGGGAGATCATGTATAGCTGTTGTCTTAGCAACTAGTGTTGTAAATACCTTTGACCCTCTGTCAAAAGTACATTTGTGGAAATGTTCTCAAAGATCTTTTTGTTCAGCAGGATAAATAGCTGAGAGAACTCTTTTCATTGCATCCTGAAGTTAGCACCATAAGACTCAGGCTGCTACTACAACTGCTACTACTATTACTACTACTACTATTACTACTAATACCAATTATGTACTTTTCTCCAAATTAGTTGCTTCTTGCAAGCTCGTGTTGAATAACTTTAATATGTAGACAGAAGGTTGGGCTGAGTGTTGTAACTGGGGTGATACACAGGTGGGGGAAATGTATAGTTTTTATTTGTTGCCTTTTATGCTGCAAAATAAAAATTCCAATTAGAGTTGGCCATACAATCAGAGTCCCAATTCTAGTGGTACATTACTGATCAATAACTCATTTCCCTTGAAAAAATGGAAATGCTAAGAGCCTTTGATTATGTGAATTTAGCAAAGCCTGAGACAATATTTTCAGTCAGCAGTATGGTTCCATGTAATTTTGTTCTTCCAGGATAAAACTTCCAGGAAAAATTTCTACCTGGGGATACAATTTATTGCTGTTTTTCTAATAGCCTACTTACATGACTACTCAAGGAAAGAGTTTTGGGATTATGATGGATAGCTCACTAAAAACTTGATTCTGCATGCAGCTTCTGTGAAAATGACAAATTTGGAGGTGGGGGTCAATATAGGAAAGGCATCAAAACCAAAATTGTTTGCATTTATTAGGCACATGCAAACCTATTCGCATCAGGCAGTAGAGCCCTTCCCTTACAAGCAAAGTGCCTTGTTAAATGGTTTGCACAAGTCTAATACTTGTGCTTGTGTATTTGTTCAGCAAGTTTGATAGCTAAGAGGACTATTTCCCAACATCCTGAAGTTATGTAACTATAACTTCATACAGTTATGAATAATTGTTTGAATAGAAAGGAGGTTTAACTGAATAAATATTGGGAAGCCACACTTGGAATATGTACAAGAGTTCTGATCATCACAGCTAAGAAACAATTCAGTACAGTTAGAAAAGGACAAATGGGTTGGAGCATCATCTCTGAGGAGAATATGAGAAAATTTTGAATTACACAAATGGAGAAAACAGAAAGAAAATGTTCTCCCTCATAATATTGGAATTTAATTCATCCAAAGGAGCTAAACATTTGGAAGTGTAGGATAGATATTTTATTTTTTAAAACAACTTACACGGATTTTAAGGTGGCAAAAAATTAAGGAATATTTCAAAGTATCTCTAAACCCAATTTAACAAATAAGAACATGTAACAACCAAATGCCCCCTTAATACAGCCTGAGAAATTTATTGGCAGAACATTCTGGAAATAAGTGCAAACTCAGAGGTTTCAGACTGAGATGGGAAAGTTTCTTTGTCCTGAAGACTGAATTATTTATTGGGCTAGAGTAATGCACATACAACCATCTTCTCATTCTTGTCCCCTTCTTTCCATCAATATTGCCTCACAGCTCCCCTCTCTATTCCAGTGAGCCTGTTGTCATTACCACGTGGAAATTGGCAATCTTAAGCAGGTCAACTTGGAGGACCAAGACAAAGCTTCCTCCTCCCTAGCAACCCTGTTGATTTTCATTGTTCAACTTTCCTACCTCTTCCCACTAAGCTGATTGCTGGTTTCCATTGCCAGTACCAGGAGATCTGAACAGTGCATCACATGGCAACCAGAGCATGCAGAAAATGGTACAGTCCAGAAGAGTTCAGACATACTGGCTCTCATTTTCAGAGGCATCCCATTATCAGAGATCATGATTCTTCAGTCTCCATAGCAGTCATAATGTTCTGTTTCCTCAGTGCCAACCTCTAGGCCATAATTGGTATATCTTTAGGTTAAAATATTTAGAACTAATACGCTGGTCCTTGTATTGGGGATGCTGTAGTCAAATTATTTTCTTCTTTGTAAAGTGAACAGTTGCTTCCTTATGCTCTCTTGTGTATAATCTTTCTGAACCTTAGTATTTGTCTTAGCTGATTCTTCACCAGTGCTTGTGTGAATGCATGTTAAACTAACAATTTCCCCTCCTTTTGGAGTTTGGATTTCAAGTTTGTGCTAATACATCCCATTTGTGGCTCAGAAGTTGCTGGGCAACAAATAGGAAGCAAAGTTGCAGTAACTCGCTACTTGTAGGCTTCCCTTATGCATTTGGCCAGGAATGTCTACAGGTGAGTCAAAAAAGTCAAAAAGGGTGGTGGCTGTGACCACTCAATCAAAGGCCCACCTCTTTTTATGTGTGTCACATATGCTATGCATGTACAAAGAGGTTGGGCCTTTATTGCATAGTTGCAATCACAATCTTGACTTTTTTGACACCATTGACCCCACAGACACCCCTGCATCTGGCTGGAAATTATGGAAATTTAATTCTGGATTACATAAGCCTTTGGTCTGATACACTATGACTCTTCTGTGGAAAGAATCTATGATTCACACAAATTAAAATGATACAAATCTGTGTAATTGTGGGTAGTGATTTAATATTTACCACAAAGATAAAAACAGCATAATTGATTTAAAATGTGGCAAGCTGAACTTGCAACTTTAAACATTTTTCATCTAAGAGCATTTACTAAGACCAGCTGCATATTATTTTTTTATTCTCATATAGTACTGGAAAATCCATTAATTGTTACTTTGGTCCCAAATATGCAGTTTTTCTTCATTTATGGATACAGATGTCCTAAGTCATTCTGGATTATTTATCTAATTCTCAATATAATCATCACCATCAGAGGTGGCCAGGGTAATCCCAACACTTTTGAAAGTTGGGGAAGGCAGCTTCATAGGATCACTGATTAATACACAAAAGAAAGGTAAACTGGATTACCTTTTACCTTCTGCTAGGTTTATCTCTCACAGACATTTGACCTATTAACCTTTACCCTAGGGCTTTAATACCCTCTTTTGATGTAACCTATTTGCTTCTTCTATAGTTATCTCATTTGACTCAGTAATTTTTCTTTAGTTTTTGGGCAGGGAGTAAACAAACTCATTGAAATTCTGTATTTGCCTACTTGCTGAGAATAAGCCTCATCAAATGAAGTAGGGCTTGTTCCTGAATATATATGCAAAGGAATCTTCTGTAACTAGACTACTGCAACTGGTCTGGTTAAATGAAAAAGAAATTACAAAAAAATTCACTAAACAGAAGAGAAAATCTGATGGCACCATAAAGACCAAGTCTGCGAATTTTTATCTCCTTCCTTAGAAGTCCCAGTAAACATAGTGATGAGATTTTGAATAGCTATGAATTTTATTGTGCAATAATAGATTTACAATGCAGTCTAATGCTGTTACTCAGAAAGTTTATTTTATCCAGTTGTTTCTACCATGGAAGTGGATATAGTTGCAGAGTTCATATAGTTCATAAATTTTGTGAACTAGTGTTATTACTCTCATTTGACAGATAGACAGACAGACAGATTCCCTAATTAAATACAGGGGGGGGGGAAATCTCTTGTGGCAAATGGCCATGAAATTCGGAAAGAATGATATGCAACATTTGGAAGATATTTTTCTTGATATCCATGTAATATGTGTGGCTTACTGTAACAACTCATGCATCTAAAAAACCGTATACTCAAATTCACAAGGATATGGGTAGGGTTACACAAGAGTTAGAATTTTCTGTATCTATTTGCTACCATTTCATGGTCATATGGATTTTTGTAGCCCAGATCCAGTCACCATAAATTTGTTTCACAAGGCCTCTTCTAAAACCATCAGTTTTACTAGTGCAATAGAACCAACTATTGCAGCTAGTTTTGACCCACCCATGTTTTTATTTTCAAAATTAAGCCTGAAATGCTATACACACCTCTTAGGGAATAAATCTCACTAAAATCAATGGAGTAGTTTTCAGGGTGAACATGTACAGAACATTTTGAAGATACAAACTGAATTCTCTCTCATAAAGCAACAGAAACCAATCTCCCAATAACAATACAGCCCTGAATCAAATAGTCAATTGACTGAAAAAAATCTCACTTGGCTAGTTTTAATTCATTGGAGAAAATCTATTTATGTGGTCACTAGGAGTCAAAAATGACTTGATGGTACATAATCAGTCAATCAATCATATGGGAACCTTCAGAAAGCCATACCAGTCTTCCCCAACTTAATGTGAGGGGAGGGTTGGCTTTTTTTCCCTACATGGCCTTTGTTGTGGTTGTCAGTTACCTGCCCCTCTCCCACTAAAAGCAATGCTTTGAAAGCCTGGTGCAATTCCCCTCTTACTCTGTGGCTGTGTCAAAAGCATGAAAGAACTGTGATTCACAACCTCTTACATGCCAGAGAATGCTGATCAACCAACAGCATTTTCTCCTCTAGCACTATCAGAGAAGTAATGGCTGCCGGGGTTTCTTTCATAGCAGAAAAGGAGAATCTGACCTTTCTGTCTTGAAATGGGAAATCTTAAATATCTTATAGATCATGGGACATCCAACCAGGGACCAGAAAACTAAGACATAAAAAGGCTTTTAAAAAATCTATGAAATTGCATCCTCTACATTTTTATTAGTTCTGTCCTTCACTAGTAAAACATGAGAATGTACTAAATCCTTCACCACTTTTCAACAATAAAAGGTCAAGTTTTGTTCAGTATCAAATGTCGCAATGCCCGACTGAGTCACAAAAATATCTGAATGAGTACTAAAACAGATTTAGATTGTACTGGCTGCTTTAAAAAAGCACTGACTATATTATATCTAGAGAAAGAGGGGGAGAGAGCTTGGTGTAGTGGTTAAGGCGCTGGGCTAGAAACTGAGAGACCGTGAATTCTAGTCCTGCCTTGGGCACAAAACCAGCTGGGTGACCTTGGGCCAGTCACTCTCTCTCAGCCCTAGGAAGGAGGCAATGGCAAACCAGTTCTGAAAAACTTTGCCAAGGAAACTGCAGGGAAAACTGACTTGAAGGCACTGTATGCATATGTGTATATATATACACACACACACACAGGTTTGTCCAGGGGAAACAAGTACTGCAAATTGCAAATACATGCCTAAAAATACAGCAGCACCAAGAGCAAAACTCAACAGAACATTCTACTGCTTCCTATCTCATCTCCTTAGCTCCCAACAGTCTTATGCACAGTGACTGGAAGATAAGGAAAGCAGTACAGCTTTCCTTTTCCCAGGAACTTCATTTCCCATCTCAGAAAAGCACCAATTTTAAGGAAATTCTCTAGGAGAGGAAGCAACTATACTTTCATCCAACAGCGTTGCTGCAGATCATAGGTTTTGTTGTTAGCAGTAGGAAATGATCCATCTGTTATGTATTGATTAATTATGCCAACAGGGAAAGTTGTGTGTACATCTTGTAGTTGGCAAGAGTTGATAATACGTTTTCTACTTGCATTGTCAAAGTAAGCTCACTACATCCACATCCAGTAGTATAAATGGAGACCCCATTAATTACCAAATATGTCCAGGTATACCTGCATCACTTATGCAGTGGGGATGAGCATCTATTCGGTGCATTGGTTTTCCCATCAGTGAAAAAATCATGACCGCACAATTGTTTCTGCCTACAGATCTCCTCTATTGGATCTGTATTGTGGATGATAACTGGTTTCATGGTTAATTTAACTCCACTGCTGTTTTATTGGTACCATTGTCATGAAAAATTATGGTACCTTATACATTATTTTTATTCAGTAGGTCCTGTGTTAGATTCACATTATGAGATTTTCAGGGAGGAAATTGTTTCCTACTGTTTATTCCCCTCTGGGTACGAATTTCCAGCACCATATATTTTCTTAAAAGACTGTTGTAGAATAATCACTTAACTTCTATTTAATATAAAACCACTGGAATATGAAGGTTGAAAAAATGCAAGAAAGTTTTATTATATTTCATATATTGTTAACAAAAAGTATACTAATAACTATTTTTATATAAATGTATATTTACATTGCTCAACTCACAATATAATTTTAAGAAACACAGAACTTAGTTACAAGGTCAATGGGAAGAAAATGAGAATATTCTCCAGATTTCAAATTAATAGTCCCTATTAATTAGACCCCATCTTCCACAGGTGGAAATCATCCCCCCCAAAAGCAAATAAAATTTGGGAAATGCCAGATCAATCCATGCCCAAACCTCTTTCAGCCATAATTGAACTATATTGTTAGAACCAAAATTCTATTTTTTGCAGTTATTCAGCTCTTGTAATAGCATATGAACTTAACTAGTAGGTGTTCACAACTAACAAAGTGTTACATGATGGAATTGACGTATAGAACATGTGATGGTTACCACCTCAACTGGCTTTAAAAGAGGGACTCCTAACATTCTTGAACCTCTTTTTCAAGTACCACAAATTATCCCAGAATCTCCAGGTATAGAATAACATGTTAGAAGACCAGATGCTGGTAAGGCATCCCTTTTCCAGCTCTGTTACCCACACTAGGCACCTGTTGTCTGACAGCTGATTCTATGTGCTAGATTTCCTAGTCCAAAGTAATGACCTCTCCTACAAAAGTTTTATGTTTTTTAAATTATTTTATATAAAGTGGCTACATTAGTTGATCTGAACATATACTTAGATGAACATACAAATCTTTGATTTATTTAATGGGATTTCCTATGTGTAACAACAAGAGAGAAATGGAGGGAGGGAAGGAGAGAGGGAGATGATCTTTGTGGGCAAAAGAATGTACTGTATCTACTCTACTGAGCTTCAGTCACTGTAATGTCCAGGCAAGGATGGTCCATTGTTCACATTTTACTTATGCATATTTATTGTCCTGCATATTTTAGATTGAAACACAATCTGTATTACAAGTATTTAAATATTATAGGTCCATAGTATCACTGAAGAAGATTCTGACTAAATAAGAAATTTTTGGGATTTTTATGGATTCATGTATATGGGATCATAGGGGCACAATCTCAGGATTTGATCAGTAAAAATGGAATACAAAAATGTTTACTCCATAAATAGGTGGACTTTCTATTGTGCAGTTTGATCCTAGATATGTATATTCAGGAATAAACCTCAACAAGTCTAATGGGGCTTATTCCATGTATCTACAGATAGAACTGCAACCACCATATATCAACTGTTTTGTTTAGGAGCTGGAAAAGGTCAGTGAATCTACAGTTTGGAAGTGATCTGTGTCTTATTTGTCACAGCATCACAACCAGATCTGATCTTTTGTAGTCTCTTCCTAAAGCATGGGAACAGCAGGATAATTTTACAAGTCAGAACTACAATTGGAAGAATAACTGCTATTATAAATGTGGGTGGAGTATACCATAAGTACTGGCGTACGTCGATCCATTTATCCCATGCAAATACTAGTGCATGAATAGTACAAAGCAGCAGAGCTAAATATCCCATCTTGCTCTAGGAAAAAAAAAGAAAAAATATTTTAAATAGAATTAGGAATTAAGATTAATTCATATTACCTGCTAGGTACATATATTTAGGGGTGTCAGTTGACAAGGGTAAAAAGAACAGCTTAGTCTATTCACGGGCATTAACAGCAATTTGATATGCACAAACCAGCAGGCATGGAAATGTTCATTTGCTTCTGACTGCAGGAATCAAACTGCTGTTAAAACCAAAGCTAAAAGAGTTGGTTCAAAAGCTGATAACCTTAACTGTACTAAAATTGTACAAAAAATTGGTGAATGCTCTTTGTTGTTCTTAATACATATACATCTCAAAAACTTTAGTTCCAAAACATTAGTCAACAAAATATTAATATGTAGTAACAAATTCAGGATCTTCAGATCCAGAAATCTCTGGACTTCTTAGACATGTTGTTCATGTAAACTATGTGAAATTCTGCAACAGCATGTAGAATTCTAATAGATTAATACTGTATTTTCTGAATTTAAGAGGTACAGAACTGTAATACTTCCATTCTAAAGTAAAGACAAGATTTTTCAGCCAAAGAGCCTCCTTTTCTTGTAACTGATGTTCCATGAATCAATGGGCAGAGTCAAAATGAAGTGAGTAGGAAAAATGTAACTAAGTCTACACCTATCTCTCTCTTTCATGCATCCCATCATTTCAGCATTTGAACTGAGAATAGCAGAGATTGAACAGCAGGCTTGTAACACCCAAGTTCATGCCCTGCCACTAAAGAATCCTTTGTAATGATCCATCTGTCCGTCCATATACCTGAATATAATGAAACTCCCTCCAAGTCAGTGAGTAGCTGACAGATGGAATTGATGTTACTGCCAACAGAGCCAGTAAAGCAAGTGCCAGAATTCCTAGAGATACATAAATCTCCATTCTCCAGACATCATGTTCAATCCAGGCATTTTCCTGTTTCTGCTGTACCTGTGGAAATAATATTACACTTGAAAAAATTATCAGAAGGGCACCTTGACAGCCTACTGTACTTAACATTCAAGCCTAGTTGTACACATTTTGTACTCTAACTTGCAAAGGTCTGCATGGATAACCCCCCTAGGAATCAGATTCTATGGAGTGACAGCCCAGTGTCATTTCTGTGATTAGAAGATAGGCTGTGGTTACATCTTAGATGACACAGGAGTTTCCCCACGTGAAAGTGTATATGGGGCAGGAATTACAGTGGGAATAGGGAGGGGGGAAGAATCAGTTTATACGTATAAACAAGCCTGCATCAAGTTTACATCTGTATCATTTAACAATCAAGTTGAACAAAACAAGACTCAGCTGCTGCCTTGCTGTCATTTTCTCAGCTTTGTGTGCCAAATTAGGACACGGTCACATTTAAGCCATGGCATTGTTTATACCTATGACCAACAGAAATTGCATCAGCCTAAACCAAAGCAAAATCAATTAGACTGAATATTTACTTACTTCAATGAAGTTTTAACTCCCTAAGAAGATTAGTTCCAATTCCTTTTTAACTTGATTTTCCCAGCATGACTCCCTTTATTTGCTGACAAACAGAATTCCATCTCAAGCTAAATACAACCTTTGGCATATTGTGACAGGTAATGCACTAAGAAACAAGATTTTAAGTGACTAATCAACGGAGGTTGTGTTGACAACCAGTTATCCTGCTAGGGCAGTCAATGAATCCATATGGTTTGCAAAAAGCCATATATAATAGATGTGCACAGAGAACAAATTGTCACAAAGTTAGTATTTAACATGGGTGATAGGATGCAAATTACAGAAATTTCTTCCTTGACATCTACACTTGACAAAACTTTCTGGACTGTATACTTCAGACAAAGCCATTTAAAATTTCTATCAACATTTTATGGCAATGACTTTCAGAAATTCATTATGCAGTGTGCAAAAAAATCTCAACTACTTTGTTCTTGACAGGTTCTACTAAACTGTCTTCACTGCCCAGCTTCTAATCTCTGAGTTGTTAAGATGGCAATTCTGTATCTATATATCCAAGAGTAATCCAATGAAATTAATGGGACTTACTGTGAAGAAACAAGTACAGGATTTGCATCATTTCTTTTCTACACCGTGTCCATTTCTTCATCATTTCCCACTGGAGACTGGATGACCAGAAATGCACAATGTTATGTGTGTATGTATGTATATAGGTAATGGTTTTGTAATAAAACATACCTGCTGATATGCCCAGTTCAAGAGTTTGTATCTGTATGATCTCCTCAGTGGATAGCACAAACTGTAACAGGCATGCATTGAAGCAAACAAGAAGCTAAGAAGTCCAAATTGTTTTCTTGATAACATCCACTTGTCTAACCATTGTGGAAACCGTCTATACTTAGTTCCATAATGGAATTGGAAACCTGCAGCTAATATTCCAGGTAAATAAACCAGGGCCAGAAGAGTAATCGATACCACCGGTAAGACTTTGTTTATGACCAAAATTGGAATTTTATAAAATACATTTTCTTGGGCAGTGACAAAAGGATGGATGATGTCCCTTAGGAAAGTATAAGTAAATGTAAACAAAGAGAGTATTAATGCTGTTTTCACTGGCAAACGCCATTTAGGAAAAATATCATTATCGCAGTACTTATTGGGAGGAGATTCAAATTCATCTGTGTGGATTTTTTGATGCGTATGGGAAAACACAATTACTTCAGAAATGCCAGTAGCCTGTAAGTCCATAATCTGAAAAGGAGAACATAGCACACATAAGCCTGTAAAGTGATTTAGAAGTATTACCAGTAATAGTAGATCTCTGCATTGTTGTAGTGCCAACTTAAACTCATTCCATCTGAAATTTCTCTAAGCATCAGATTTTAGGTTACAGGAATTTGGCTGAAGGAACATGAGGTTACATTTCAATAGCCAAGTCATCTGTAATTTTAGGTACTAAAATTATTTTCAGGAAGCTGGTACTTCTGTCGGGCAGAGTGATAATCACAAACACTCCTATTTGTGCAGAGCGCAGCAAAAACTCCAGGAAAATATTAATTTCAAATAGTATAAAATACTTTCCAATATAGGGTCCCATTGTTAAATGATTTTGTAAGTCACAGGAAAAAAAGTTACCTACATTCTCATAAAAATCTCAGACTCATCTTAGAGTTTTATATTGCTAAACCAACTTCAAAGATCAAAAAATGATGAAGATCTTCAGATCTCTTCATTGGCTAAAATGTTTTCCTACTAGTTTGAAAGTTTACAAAATATTGTGATAAAACATTATATAGAAGTTGTCAGGATTTAAATATTTAATTAAATTCTTTATATTAACGGTTATTTCTAAATTCTCTATAAGCTCCTTTTAAGTTGAAGTGGAGAGGTCAGTGTTTTTACACCCTTACAACATCTTAATAAATCTTTTATCCAAGGATGCATTTTTATGCTAATAATATTAATTCAGCTAATAAGTATTAATGCATAGCTGTGCAGGAAGGTCCAAAGCACGTTTCCTACATTATCATGGGAATACAATAAAGAGCCCAGTGGGTTAAAAACAAACACCAACCTTTTGATACATCAGTGCACCAGAAACTTTATTAAATCTAGAGCGCCTCCCCCAACTCTAGAATGTCTCTGAGCAGCTTGCCCAATTTAAAGAATAGAGAACCAATAAAAAAGGAAAAAAGACCACATACATCCAGACAGACCACACTACAAATAACATTAACCCCTCCCCCCCAACTAATAGGGGCTCCAAGCCACCCTACCCCATGGCCTGGGAGAACAGCCAAATATTTAAAGACTTCTGGAACACCATCAGGATGACAGCCTCACAGATCTCTGGAGGGATACTATTCAACAGAGAAAGCATAGTTCCTAGATCCTGTTAGATGACACTGTTTGATTAAAGGGGCTTGAAGCGCACCAACACTGCCTGATTTTCCTGGATGGACAGAAACCATGGAAGAAATAACCTGGTCCTATACCATGGAGGGCTTTATAGGTGATAACCGGCACCCTGAACTGCACCCAGAAGCCTACTGGCAACCAAAGCAGCTTGTAGAGTAGTGGTGTCACATGGGCATACTGAGGGATGCCCACTGCCCATACCACTGCATTCTGAACCAGCAATAGCTTTTGAGTGGTCTTCAAGGGCAGCCCCATGTAGTGTGAATTGCAATAGTCCAACCATGTGGTGACTAGGGCATGTAAGTGACCATCTGGAGGGCTTCTGATTCCAGGATTGGATGCAACTCACACACTAGACAGAACTGTGCAAAGGTTGTCTTGGACACGGCTGCCATCTGCTCTTTGAGCAGGAGCTGGGAAGTCCCAGAAAAGCTCAGATTGTGCACTAGTCTAAAATGGAGAAGTACAACCCCAGAGACAGAATGTCCCTGGGTGAAGTGGTGGTGGGGGAATCCAAAGCCACTCAGTCTTGGGAGGATTGAACCTGAATCTGTTGCTCCTCATCTGGACGCACAGCCTCCAGACACTGCGAGATGTGTGTGCGGGTTGGGTGCACGGAGGTGCAGTGTGGGTTGGGTGCATGGGGTTGCAAAGTGGCTGGCATGGTGTGAGCACAGAGGGGCTGTGGAGAGTGTGGGATGTGGGAGACATACCCCAGTGACTTGCGACCTTCCCTGCTGGGTTCCCCATTGACTTTCTGGGGAAGCTGGCAGAGAAGGCTGCAAATGGCAATCATGTGATCACAGGGTGCTTGGCAACCAGTCATAAGTGCAAACAGGTTGCCAAGCACCCAGATCATGATCACATGACCGCGGGGGTGCTGCAATTGCTGTAACTTCAGGGACCGGTCGTAAGTCCCTTTGTTCAGCACCATCGTAACTTCAAACAGTCGCTGAACGTATGGTTGTAAGTCAAGGACTACCTGTACTGTTAGACCATTTGGAGTCAAAAACGTTTGCTCACTTACCATTATTCACTCAGAATTGATCACCAAATGCTGTATCTATTGCCCATCCCCCCAAAAAATGGGGGTGGAGCATCAAATTACCATCCAAGGACAATTTATAACATGTAACTTAAAAATATATGAAAATTACCGCATTGCTGAAACCCTCCTGTGTTATTTCAGGATCCATTTTCTGATTTTCATCCTGATCCATATTTTTTGACCAATGACTGTTGTTCTGTCTATGGCTACTAGATGGCTGAAAGACAATTTCAGGAGTCTTTTGTTACTTCTTTACATTTCAGAAAAACACATAGGTGGTATTAGTGATATTTATAAATAATTACATACACTATAGTATTTCTTTTGAGAAATCTTTTTTACAAAAAAAAGAAAAGAAAAGGCCGAATTGTTCTTGCATAACTAAATGAAAGAACTGGAAGTTCCTATACTGAGATTAAAAAAAAAAGAACTTGGGTTACAAAACATTAAGAACTAATGATGCTGTATCATCATTCATAATTACTCATTTCTGATCATTTGGATTTTTAGTATTTAAACTTGATAGATTTAAATCAAGAATGTCACTAATCTGGCTCAGATATCATTTCTAAATCTGTCTCTGCATTTAATGTCTATGGTGTAGTTCCTCTTCGTTATATCAATGTTCCAATTTTACTGAGAAATCCTATTTTTAAATAAATCTGAGAATTAAGAGTGTATATTTTTAATAAGCAAAGCTTGAGATGATCAGGATTCTGACATGGACTGTAATGACTCACAAATCTTTCACATGTTCACTCTCACCTCCCTTCTTAATAATCCAACCCTAATACCAAAAATTAGAGCCAGTTTGGTCTAGTGGTTAAGGCTCCAGGCTAGAAAGCAGGAGGCTGTGAGTTCTAGTCCTGCCTTAGGCATGAAAGCTGGCTGGGTGACTTTGGGCCAGTCACTCTCTCTCAGCCCAATCCACCTCACAGTGTTGTTGTGCTGGGGAAAATAGGAGGAGGAAGGAGTATTAGGTACATTTGCTGCCTTGAGTTATTTATAAAAATAATAAAGGTGGGATAAAAAATCTGTTAAAAAATTGCACGGTTTTATGATGGCCTCAATCTATTAGTTTATTATTCAACTTGGATTTCATTTTCTGCAAACAGCACAAAGTTAAGTAAGTCTGAGCTGCTGAAATCCTTTTTTCCAAAACAATGGAAACAAAAATAGAAGAAAACAAAAGAAAACATTTCTTTATTGTGAGTGAAGGGAGTATTTTACTAAGGTGAAAGGAAAAACAAAGAAATGGAATAGCATACTTGCAAGCCTTGTTTCAGGGGATATGACTTTCACAAAAGGAGATTATTGCATGCCATAGATTACTCATATTATAAAATCCAAAGATGTCTAATGTTAAAAGCCCCTGCTCAACAGGATATTTTGTAAAAGAAACCTAGATTGCATGAGTCAACAATAACTTCAGGGCAACATCTAGACTTTTTACAGAAATATCAACATTCTGACCTTCCTGATAAGTATGCTGAATAATAAATAAGTACTATACCACCCTAATGGCAGAAAGTGAAGAAGAACTAAAGAGCCTCTTGATGAGGGTGAAAGAGGAGAGTGCAAAAGCTGGCTTGAAACTCAGCATTAAAAAAACCAAGATCATGGCATCTGGACCCATTAATTCCTGGCAAATAGAAATGAAAGCAGTAACAGACTTCATATATTTGGGCTCCAAGATCACCGCAGACGGAGACTGCAGCCATGAAATTAAAAGACGCTTGCTCCTTGGGAGGAAAGCTACGGCAAGCCTAGACAGCATGAAACTGAGCAAACTCAAGGAGGCAGTAAAGGACAGGAAGGCCTGGCGTGATATGGTTCATGGGGTCACGAAAAGTCGGACATGACTTAACAACTGAACAACAACAAATAACTTAATAATAATAAATAATAACTGATAAGTAGTAAAGCACAGCAAAAACATATACTGAAAGCGGTTACAACTCTGCCTATTGTGAGAACAGACCTCAGAGAGTAACTGCTGTTCAATTACAGTTCCTTGGTGAGGCCTGTTTCTCATAACCTCTAGGCTCCTGATCTCCAAATACTGTAAAGATGCTAAAAGTGAATATATTAAAATTTGCTGCTCCAGCAACTCGTTAGTGTTTATTTTGGCTTCTGCAACATACTAATTTTTATTTTATTTTTATTTTATTTTTATTAGTATGTTGGCTGGGGAATTCTGGGAGTTGAAGTCCACTGGTTTGTTTGCCCAGCTCTATTTTACTCCATCAGATCTTCTGAGTAAGCAGTCATGAAACTGGACAGGTAGCGTGCTAATTGCCTGTTGAAGAGCTTGAGAGTTTGTAGAGGGTATAATGTGTCATTTTTGTTTTTAATTTAGTAAAGCAAAGCTTGGAAGAGCCAGGGATAAAGTGTTCCTAATGATCCAATGAAAATAAAGTGTCACATTCCGAACTGTAAATATTAAAATTAGTTCTGCAATATCTCAATATAAGAAATGGATGTGGCTGTGTAGACACAAGCAGAGAAACCTGTTAGTTTGTGGCCCTTTTCTTTTCTGCTATAGTCCTGGATCTGCCCCTTTTCCTTCTTTCCTATCACCTCCCCTTTTCATGCTGATGCTGCAAAAGGCAGAATGCCAGGCAGCTACTGAGATCTGTCTTAACGATAAGCTGAGCTTTGTCTGTGTGCCAGTTTAATCTAAAATTAACAGATTCAAATCTACATATGCTAATAGTCAACTCATTCTCATCTCATGCTCCTTCTGAAACTAAAATGACCCATCAGGCTTGAGAGGGTCCTATGATTTGCCAAACTTTAATCAAACTTACAAGGAAAAAAAAAAGGGAGGGAGCAGAAAACAGCCCCATTGAGGACTTAGCGAACTGACTCTCCTGAGAGGGTGAAAAAGAGCTGAGGATGAACGCGGTGGTGAAAATGGCACGTGGGGAGTGGAGCTCTGAACAGATGCACACCACAGAATAAACTGGTTCTAGATCCCACTGGCCAGAAATATTTCCGGCTTTCTTCCAGCTCTTAGAACTGTTTCCTGTCTTCAAAAATCCGATACAGTCAGCGGCACCTTATCATACAGTCTTCTGAATCTGCTTTCCTTCCAAGAGCTCGCGGGCAGCCTCGCGGAGGCAGCTCGGAAGGAAAGACCGCCACCCGCAGTCCAACTCTGGTCTCCTAAACTCTCAAGCGAAACGCGGCAATTGTGACGTTGGGGTCTGATGACGTTGGGACGTCGGCAAGTCGGTCACGGATTCTTGCTCAACATCGCTTTTGTTCGGGCATTCGGGTTTGCAACAGGGGTGGGGGTGGGGGGTCTTTTACAGCCTCTAACTAATTCCCGCGCACCCACCTCTTGCTCGGCAGCTATTTGGTGAGCGACGGGTTTTGTCTGTCCGGAGTTGTGGACGGGCTGCTCTCTCACCCGACTGCCGGCCGGACAGACGTGGCTCTGTTTTGAACATTTCCCGAATGAGCGGTCTGAACTTACGACTTTTTTCCGTCTTCTGGCCGTGGCGGAACGATTCCCCGGGCGAACCGCTTCAGCCAGCCCGGCGTCTCTGCTCAGCCTCGCAAGTTTGCCTTGCAGCACGCGCCCGCCTCGCCCCGCCCCTTCCAGCTCCGCCTTCGGCATCTTTCTTGTCGGCCCCGCCTTTCTCCTGCCTGCGGGACTTTGCCGATTGATACATGAAATGCCTCGTTAATCAAAGGAAAGTAGTAAGCGAACACTTCAGTCAGCCAAATCAAAAAGCTATGCGCTCCAGCAGAGGCAAAGCCTGCAATCGCCCCCGACACTTTAAATAAATATAAGGAAAAAAACCCACGAAGAAAAACCGCGAGCCACAGAAGCTTGAATGCTGTTAGGAGCAATTGGGGTACTGCAGATGGGGCATGGAATCCCCC